AACACCTTTGCGTAGACGTATCGTGAGAGATTCTATAAGGTAATGCACCGATAATTGGAGCACTCGGGTCTCCCTTTTTCAACAGGGGTACTGTACTACTACCGTGTTCTCCAGTCCTTTGGTTTCTTTCCCTTAGTCATTGCAGCTTGCCACAACATGCCTTTTTCACCTTCAGCTTTAAGCTTGTGATAGCGGACATCATCACTGCCATCAACCTTTGCCACCTTCGAACCTTCGCAGCTTTTGTGGCTTCCGTTGAATGACTAATGTGTGCGTTTTCTGCTGCCATTCAGGCAAATTTTACTGCGGTTGCTAGCGGAAGGACGGGGAATTGTTCATAGTGCTCTCTCTGAAATATGTCGTCATCCTTGGTAAGAAGGCGTCCAAATTTGTCGTTCACAGACCGCCTTTCTTTTCATCTGAGGCAGAAGTGGCAGTCTGTCAGAATGCCTTGTTCTCTGTCCGGAAATTCGACTACAGCACTTTATTGAACTTTCTCAATTAATTGGCTTTCTCTGTTGCCACTGCTTTTGCTGCATTCATCCGCGCTTTGTTTCGCTTTCGCTTCACTTTTTATTTCCGCATTCGCGTTGATGGCCTTTGGCTGACGTGCCACCTCTGGACTGCATCCTTCTCAATGCTAGTAAGTTGAATCCTTGGTTTCCACAAAAATTTCGTTTCAGACGTTTAGGCGGCAGGTCAACCCTTTTAAATCCGCAGCATTCGGCGGCAGCCTCGAGTATGCCACTCGATTTCCACATCAGTAGTCTTCACTGTGCTCTGTTCAAACCGTCGTGCGATGTTGTTTTCAAGTTTTGCTCTCGTATCCGCACAAAATAATGTTTTCCATTTGATTCTCTGGTTGCTTCTGCCACCAGAATTTCGTATGGTACTTCATTTCTTACAGTGTAGCGTGCCAACAACAAGGTGATGATCAGGTGATAGCTCTGTGCCTTTCTTATCGCGAACATCCATTACTGAGCATCTTAAGTCAGGCGATACGATTATCAAATCCATGCACATGCTTCCCGGTACCAGGTGTACTGAAGCACTCTTCGATGCTCAAAGAAGATGTTCATAATAGACAGTCTGTTGTTTGTACAAAGGCGCAGCAACTTTATGCTGTTATTGTTGAGATCTTAAGGCCGTAATTTCTAGTCACGCTGTTCCACTTTCTAGTGTCATCTTCGACATACGCATTAAAATCGCCTATTGAAATGAAGGACCCATAGTCGGCACTTCGCTCAGAGTTCTGTCTGCTTCCTCCTGGAGGAGTTGATACTCTTCCTCAAAATCTGGCGTATAAACTTCTAACAGGGTCATGGCTTTAGCTTGTTTTTGCTACAGTTTGCAGTCCTCCGATGGCACGCTTCCGTCAATGATTCTGTCAGTCTGGACTCTGCTGTAACATCAACACTGCTTTGACCGCAGTTTGTAGAGTTGAAACTAATAGAATGGCTATGACCCAAAAAGGTTCAGAATTCTATTGTTCTGGCGCTTGGTTGATGAGATTCCAATTACATCCAGTTGTTATGTCGCGACCTCCTCAACTGGTCTCTGCCCTTAGCGTCTGAGTGATAAGGTGCTCCAATTTCAGACGTGAGCTCTCTGTCGATATGGTTACCTTTGAAATTTATATGATGTGCTGTTTGATTTTTCGTTCGGAACGGGTAGTAACCCCATTCCTTGCTTGAAAACTTTTTGCTAATATAAAAATTTACCGTGAAGGAAAACGTATACTGTAGTTTTGTAAAACGATGCTCAAGTTTATTTGCTAGTAGCAAGCACAATCTGTTTATTTTTCAGCGTTAGGCTGTAGTGGTACAAGCCGTTTAGTGTGGTTGAGTCGTTGTAGCGGCTTATCTTGCTTGCAGTACTTCATAAGTCTTTTACTACATGACAGTCGTTTAGGTTTTTGGAACCATGTGACATAATCACTTCTTGTCGAATTCGCTCACGACGAAATTTTTTTCTCGTTGTAGAACAAGTTACAAACGACACTATTATCTACCATAATAAATTACATTTTTAAAAATTTTATTTATTCACCGGTTAGAGCTTGTTTTATTTTGCTTATTTAGTAGACGGCTGCTGTTGCTGCCTCATAGACTTACGATCGTAAAAGACCGTTTAGCCGCTCTCCAAGAACACTGGCTGGTTTTACCCCTAACCTACAGGGCCCATGCAGTATATATGAGAAAAATGTGCAGGTTGTTGCGACTGACACATTCTACTGATTTGTGAATAGTGTTTGGCCCTATTGATCTTGTCATAGTTATGCCATTTATCAGTAGTGTCAAGACAAATTGCAGCCATAAGGCGCACTCATCACACAGCGATAAAGCATGTCTTGGAGACTCTGGCTTGACCCCAGCAAAACACTCTGCTACTCCCGGTATTCGCTCTTCGCTTCTTCACTAGTTGTCTCAGAGTACATTGAGGTAATTCTCCGTTGAAGGAATTTAAGTTGATAAAAAAATGTTTTTCGCCTCATTTTGATTTGAACCGGCGGGCCTACTGCACTCTAGGCAAAGTGATTTTTCATTGTACTGCTGT